GCACGTTTGGCTTCCAAAAAAAGTTCATAAACCGGAACACTTACTTCCGGGTTTGCAGTGTTTGGGTCCAAGTTGTTTGAGTACCAAGGCATTTGAGAACCAAGGTACCACTGTCAGAAGTGTTTTTAATTGTTTCATCGTCGAACTGTTTTTAATTGTTTTTACACTTGTTTTATGGCTGAAATTGATTTCTTTGTCTTATAATTGCATATTTTATTATTGCAACCCACTCTGGCAGTCTGGATTGTGGGCTCATGACACCCACTAGTATAGAGCTCGCCTAACCTTGCCCCACTGCTGTCTCTCTCCTGGAAATCACAGTAGCACCCTGGTAACACCGCCCCATGCTGTGCTGATGGCTACAACCATCTAGTTTGTTTTATTAATTTACTCATTGAACCAGACAGGCATTTCTGATATGTGGCCTCAGAGTTCACTCTCACATTCTGTCCATGCCACCTAAAAATACTCAGGATGAAGTTAATTAGGCCAGTGATGGAGATTAAATACAGAGAAAACCATGCATTGGGGCAGCGCTTCCAGCACTGACACTCATACCAGTGAATAAGGATGCTCCATTATTTATGTATTATGTTTGTTTGTTTTTAAAAAGTATACCCTGCTTTTCATCATCTTGTTTCCAAAGCAGCTTACAAAATAAAAATACTATGACTTTATGCGTATTTGTGTGCAGTGAATTACAAGACTTGTTCCTTGAATATTCTGCAGCATTTAAGAACCGAATGACTACTGGCTGTTTGTTCGGAATAAATATGATTGTATTTCATAGGGTGCCTCAAAAACACTTCTGTGTTATATCTGATGGACGACTCACAGTTCAAGTCATGTTGGTGATTCTCCTCCACTTTACAAAGATGTGTGTGGAATGTTACTTTCATTATTTATAATAAAGCCTTGTTATTTGTATTCACGGTATTCAATCAATTCTGTTCTTATTGACTTTCTGTTCTCTGCCGCTTCCATAAAGTGAAGGGACTACACATTTCCATCTGTTTAAGTGATCAAAGGAATAAGTTGTTGCTGCTTACTTATTTGTTGCAAGCATGGGACTTTTGTGCACTGCTGTGAAAGGCTACCTGAGATCATTCCCTTGATGTTTATTTCATAAAGGTATGCTAATAGGGAGGTGAAATTACTTTTTATTTCAACTTTAAAAACAACACACAAAAATCACACAAATAGTAAACACAAAATTACTGTTGCTATAAGAAGCATTCCTAGTCAGAGCAATATTGCAATATGAGGAAAATACACACAACACATAAAGACTATAAAAGAAAGAAAGAAAGAAAGAAAGAAAGAAAGAAAGAAAGAAAGAAAGAACTTATTACCATCTTCTCTTGCACATCTGCATGGAAAGTTAGTGGGACTATGCCTCCTGCCCTCTCTCCTTGCCCCCTGTGATTTCAGCAAAAGTGATGATGGGACTTGTTCATGCAGAATTCCAAATTGTGTTCAATGTTCTCTGTGCATACAGCTGTACACAGACAGAAGTCCATTTTGGAAACTTCTGCTATGTGGCAGTTGGGATCAGGGCCTGGAGAAAGCACACAAGCCATGGAACAGCCAGGATCATATCTCACAAAAGAACTGCTTTCAGTGGTGTCTGCACATTTTGCTTCATAACTTTCATTATATGACACGGGTACAGGGGTAGAAACTTACTTTCTTCCTCTTCTAAAAATAAATCAGAGTCTCCTCAACACTGGCTCTGGGCCTGCTACTACAGCAGTATCCCCTGTACCACTGATCTTGGTAAACCCACAGAATAAACTTCTAGCACATGTAATTTCACCTCTCAAGAGATCATCCCTGAAAGCTGCCATTTCATTTTTGCTCTAGTTCTGCTGTGCTTTGTTATTGTGACCACACAGGAAAGAAAGAGATTGGGTGAAGTAGGTCAAATTTATTCATGTGAACCCCAAAACAATCTGCATAGGGCACGCAAGATGTGCGATCTAACTAATAACCAAACTAGGTGACCCAAACCTTACAAGAGTAAGAGGCTGACCCTCCTCGCACCCCATCCTTTCAGGAGAGTAAGGAAGCCTTCCTGCTCCACCCCCTCCTAGGGCCCAACAGCTCCAGGTAGGTTTTACTGATTGACCCCAAGGATACTCCCTAACCATACCAGCCAGTCCCACAGCCATGTAGTCAGATTTCCAGACTACACTCTTCCCCTATAAGTGCTCACCAGTGCTTTCCCACATCTTTCTGCTAATGTGGCCAATTCACCTGTTTAACAACTACTCCCTGCTAAATACATCCATTGCTTCATCAGTACACTTCCATTTCATTTAAAGCTTGTCCAATCAAATTGTGCACTGCGGTGATAAAATTTTTATACATGAGAGCACCAAGTAGATTTCAAACACTTCTAATCGAACATAAATGTTTGTAATAGTGAGAAAATTGGGGAAGCTTCATTAACATTTTCTCCTTAAGCAAATGTGCCTCCTTTCAGAAATCCTTCACATGATTTCCCCCACCATTATCTTTTCACCGGGCAGCCGTACAGAGAGATGGCATGCCACCCTGAAATATAGTCAAGCAGCAAAAGGTATGCACACCTGTCAATCAGATAGTGGGAGCAGGACTTTATTCTGAGCCTCTTTGCAAATAGCTGGACGTTGGGTACTAAAAATATTGTTCTTCCTAGTGATAGAGATGTTATTAATCAGTCCGTAAGATACGATTATGTGAGAATGTCACTGAGCTCCTATGAAGTTCCCTCAAAGTGAGGACAATGTTTTCTGAATAAGATTTCTCTCATTCTGAATTAGCTTAGTTTGCCCTCAATTACATTAATTTACCACATAATGAGACATATATATTTATCAAAATGTGCTAAACACGTAGCTGATCAGGGCTATGAACAATGAACCACTGTCAAATGGGTAAACTTTAGAAAGCATTGTTTTTCTACTGAAAATGAAGAAAATTCAGCACAGTCCCATTAAAAAGTATTTAAAAGAAAATTGATTTTTGAGCTGCAGAATCCAAATCCCTATTGGCTTAGAGATGCCAAATCATAAAACTCACAAAGTAATTTTCAGTCATGTTTGATTCTGAACTTACCATCTTCAGATGACAGTCAAGGCTCTAATTAACTACACTGCTGAAAAAAAAAATCTTCCCTACTAGGAAATGCTAATGAAACAATAGTGATAATTAATCATGCCGGTTTCACACTCCTGTCCTGTCTGCATATTTAAACAGAATTTAATTGCCTAACTGACTTCAGAAAGGAAACTTAAAGGGAATCTGAACTCCTAAAGACCCTGAATCCCAAACACTAGTATTGAAATGTGTATTTTCAGTTGTAGACTCACCCCCCCCCAGACCCCTATATTCAAATATTTTTCAGGCTATTATTTTTCATGGTCCATAAACATATGACAGAAATTCTCAAGCACTGTGCTAGTAAGCCTCCCTAAGGGAAAGCACAATCAAAACTACATAAGCTTGCTAAAATCAAGATAATTCTATACAGGTTACCCAGTAGCCTGATGCATTCTTATAGATAAACAGGAGGTATAATCTGGTGCTGTTGACTGGAAGCAAAGGAAACTAGTTTTTACAGACTAATTAACACTAAGTACTAGGATCTTATACAGTTTGCAGAAAGGAAGTAAAACAGAAGGTTGTCATGCAGCATATTCAGAAGGGTGGGGGGAAGAGTCTGTGGTATATAGATATTCTCCAAGATTAGGAATGATTGGAGAGCAAAAAAGGTAAGAGAGCAAGATCCACTACAGTCTTCCAACTATAGACGGAAGGATATGTCAATTTTGGTTCTCTCAGTTTCTCATTTTCCCATGCTTAACTTTGGTTCCCCATGTTTCTGTAGCACTTTGCTTTTTTAAAAAAATCTTCATGCAAATTCATCAGCATTTTTGTGGGAATTTCTCCTCATATATTTATGTATACAGTTTTGACTAACGTACACATTTTTTCATGCAATTTCCTTTGCTATACAGTGGTGTATCACAAGACGAAAATAATCCGTTCCACGAGTCTCTTCGTCTAGCGGTTTTTTCGTCTTGCGAAGCAACCCTATTAGCGGCTTAGCGGATTAGCGCTATTAGCGGCTTAGCGGCTATTAAAGGCTTAGCGGCTAAAAGGCTATTAGCGGCTTAGCGGCTTAGAAAAAGGGGGGGAAAGCGAAAAAAAATCGCAAGACTCGCAAGACGTTTTCGTCTTGCAAAGCAAGCCCATAGGGAAAATCGTCTTGCGAAGCAACTCAAAAACGGAAAACCCTTTCGTCTAGCGGGTTTTTCGTCTTGCGAGGTATTCGTCTTGCAGGGCACCACTGTATTGCATTTCTGTATGTTATTTCAACTAATGTTTTTATGAACAAGTTCCAATAATAAAAGCATGTTTGTAAGCACAGTTTGGCTGGAGAACTGCACTGCAAATTTTGGACAAATGTGAATTTAGAAAGTTGGCTCTGTTTCAGTTCACATATTGTTTTGGGGTGGGTTTTGTAGATTGGGATTTAAATGTGCACAGATCTGAATGCCAACCCAGTAGATAAGCCTTCTGCAAACAGATGTTCTCCAAATGTTTTCCCACTCAGTCCCAGGCAGTTTGATCAATGGTCAGGTGTGATGGAAGTTCAATCCCAAAACATCTGGAAGGTGCCAGGTTGGGGAGGCACACACACATGAACCCTTCTCCTCCACACCAATCACCTTTGCATGAGCAGTCAGTAGGTGCAGAAAATTTCTCCATCCATGCTATTTGTTATTGGCTTGATACTAGCATTTGTGAGATAGAAGATAGTTGGCAAATATCCCGTTATCTTAATAAATACTTAAATAAGGGTGGGCTTCTATTCTAGTGGGCCTCAGTTCAAGAAAAGTTGCAAAATTGTAAGATCTGTTTCAAATATTACACCAAGGTTTTTTGAAATCATACATTCATATGGAGCAGAACACAGAGGTAAATCTGGGAATAAAACTAGAAATTGTACTCACGAAATGCTCTATAGAATTCTTCCAGGCCTAGGTGCTTGTCACCATTATAATCATCATATTTCAAGAGATCGAAAAGAGAGCAGTCAGACAGATCCTTGCCAAGCTCATCCTGTTTTATTACCTGACAAGAAAATTATAACCATGAAATTACACTGGAGCTCTAAGAGTTGAATGGAATAATTAAGTATTCCTAATATCATTTAATAGATCATTTTAAGGATGCTGTAGGGCAATGAACTAGAACTGTGTAAAGTCAGAAATTTCAAGTTGCTTTGTAATTATATAGTGCCATTCATAAAAAAATTTAATACATTTTCATTGACTATGCACATTTAGATTTGGAATTCTATGGACACACAATAAGAGCTAACAATGAAATACAAACTATGCATTTTGGATTGTTGAAAGGCATTTTTTTGTCAGGATAATCAGTCTCACCTTTATTATACATACTGCTCCCAGAGAATTAAGAGAGTCTAATATATCCTCATCATGCATGGAAGAAGAATAGCAAGCTCTTCCTTTCTGCCACTAGCATTCTAATGCAAACGTCAGAGTGTGGCACCTAATATTTCTTGAATGCAGTGATAGTTATCCAAGGGGAATTTCCTACCACTTCTTCCCCAGTGTGTCACCCTTTCCCCCACTTCTTGTTTGGTAGACCCTCTGGAAATGCCTGAGATGTGGTGTGTGGTCTACTGTGAGAGCGAGGGATCAGGAAAAATCAGGCAACTTTATCATCACCATTATAGGCCACATAACTTACACAGTTACTGAAACTACCTTTGTTGCTCAGAAAGACAACCTATATTGGAAAAGAGGTAGGTGAATTACGACCCTCTTGGTTGTCCTCAACTTCTCAGCAGTTTTTGCTATAAACTATGCTGTCCTTCTGGACCACATGTATGGGTTGAGAATTAGAACACTGAATTACGTTGTTTCTGACCCCATCTTACGAAAAGGTACCAGGTTAACTGCTGTCCTGTCCCATGGGAAATATCCTGTAGGAAATTCTACAGGGTTCTGCCTTAATTCCTGTGCTTATTAAACTTTACACAAAAATGCAGGATTAAGACAGTATGGAAATTGTTCATCGACATAATGATGATACCCAGCTCTAATTCTCTTTTGTCTCTAGGATCATCAGAATCTGGCTGTTGGTTCCATCTAGCTAAATATTGTTGATACCAAGTGGAAGTGGCTCTCTGGGATTTAAGACAGGGGTCTTTCCCAATGCTACCAGGAGGTACTGAATATTGAACTCAAGGCCTTCTGAATGCAAAGCATGTATCTACTACTCTTACAGCCCTTGTGATAGGTACCTTTAAATGACTACGTAAACTAAGGAAACAACTGAATTAAAGTGATTACTGTCACTGCTCAGTCCATTTTGATGGTGAGCTCCACTCTGGGAGAGCCATCACTGCTGACACCTTGGAACCACCGGGGTGGAAGACTGCAGCGTAGCTAGCTGGTGTCCAGGAGCCACTGGCCCTGGCATTGAGACTGAGAACATCTCTAGGGCCAACACAGCATTTAGCCACTGACCTTGGTGCTGATTGACTGCTGAGACAGTTTGTATGGCTCAGCTTGCTTGACTGTGTGTGTGTGTGTGTGTGTGTGTGTGTGTGTGTGTGTTACAGGCACAGGGAAATGAACTGGGAAATGTGCATTGGGTGAAAATACTCCACTCTCCTTGAAACACAGCAAGAGAAAACAACCTCCCTGTGTTTTAAGACACATGTTTTGGATGAACAACAGGTGTTTTCCATGTGCACACCATTCTAACATTTCGAAGTGGAAGTCGAGTTCAGTTCTCGTTCGTGCTTGAGAGAGAGGACATGCTTTGCAAATGGCTGCCAGCATGATGCTGAACCCAATAAATGCTGTAATAGACAACTTGCCTCGTGTGTTTCTGAAGCTAGCTAGGACGTAAGGCTGTTTTACATCGCGTGCTTCAATCTCTTACTGGCGTGACTGGACGAAAGAGCGCGGAGCAGAGGTGTAGAGGAAGTGTCCGGAACTGCGGTATAAATCGCTAATGTGGACAATAATGCAATTAGCGGGGGTCGCACCATAAATCGTTACGCAGGTTATGGTACTAATCAACCGCTTGTAAACGTCACTGAAGTGCGAATGCGTTTAGTCGGCAGAGATGGGTTGTAATTAGCCTCCCTAATCTGGCTGAAAGTTTCGTTTCCTGCTTCTTAACAAAATGCATGTGACATCCATCCTGTACCTGGATCTGAGCAGCTGCTGGTGGTTTTGGTCTTACTTTTAAAAAAGTAGTTTTAAAACAATAAAGTTGAAGCAGCAGCTGACATAGGCTGTGAACACCAGTAAACACCAGTTGTGGCAAAAACAGACCACCTTTAAAGCATTTTACCATTTGCTAAAACCTCCCTCCCGGCCCCCAACCCACTTCTTTCACACCAAAAATGTTTGCTGGATAACATTCAGATCAGCGCTACAAATGTCAGTCTCTTGCAAACAAAGGCAGCTCCTTATAAGCAGAAAAAGCAATTATAATGTATTTACATTCATTCTATTTATTTTTTAAAAATGCTGTCCGTCAAAACTGGATGATAAAGAAAGCCTGCACTCCCCTCCCTTTTTTCCAGATTAGTAAGGATGTTTCCATTGCAACTTTTCTGCTTAAAAATAAAAAATAAAAATTTCCTCGGTAAATTTACCCTACTCAGAGACAGACTTGTGTTTGTTTAATGATCCAGCATGGAATGAGAGGATAGAAGGTGCTTGTTCTCTTTCTGGTTTTGCAAATGAATGTTTATTCGTGGAGATCAGAAAGACCACCAGGAATGTAATTTTATGTCCTTTGATTCTAAGTGTCTTACCTATCAAATGTGTCCTGATAAAAGCACAGTCTGAAACTTCCTTAGTATTCACTATCGCCTATGTAAATGAGCTCTGTGAAGATGGGCAAAATCAACTGTAGGACTCATTTTCTTCTGAGTATAATTTCCACAGCAGTTTCAGCACGCGTAAAAATGCTGCTGGTTTTATCAAAGCCAAAAAGCGGAGTGGGGGGATGCAGTGAGCTCCCCTTACCCACCCAATTAGGACCATCAGAATTTGGAGGAAACATCTGGAGAGGCGAGGAGTTCTCTTTGTTTCCTTTTACGATTATATCATGCATTTTGTGTTTTATGCTGTAAACTGTGGTCTCTTGGTGAAGAGTGGTATATAAATTCAATAAAAATAATAATTAACCCCAAACCACCCCAATTTTTACGCAAGTATTGAGATAGAGGCTTTTATTGTGGTGACATTTTTCTTCTCTCTGAAATCAGCTTTCTGCAATCTGTGCTCTCTATATGCTTTAAGCAACTTCCGCCACCCTGACTATTGGCCATGCTGCATCTGGTGAGATTTGAAAACCAACAACCTATGGAAAGCAGCAAGTTGCGGAAGCTTGGTTTAAACCAGTGGTTCCCAAAGGGGGTGGTGCCACCCTCTGGGGGCTTGCTAAGAGGCAGGGGGAGCTGGAGCTGATGATTTAAGTGACTTTAAACCAGGCATTGGGAAACAGGTATCACTTCATCAAGTCCATCCATCACGTTAAGAATTTACTCAACAGTGAAGTAGTTACTAAATGTGGTGTCTAAGATCCTTCCTGGAATCACCGGATCAAAGTTCATCTGTTTTGTTGAATTAATCCAACTAAATATATTCCAATGGATTTTGAATGAATGTGCAATCAATTACCACTGTTTTGAAGTTTATGGTCTTATTATCTTCCTTAGTGGGTCATGCAAACCACTATTCTGAATAACGATTTCTGTAGGGTAGGGAGCGCTGGGGGTGAGTTTATGGAACCAAGCAGGAAGTAGCCTGAAAAAGCTTGAGGACCACTGGTTTAAACCAAGGGTGGTGAATGTTTTTCAGCCTCAGCACCATGTTCCATCCTGAGGTACCTTCTGGGTCACACGCCCGTGGTGGGGCCAGAGACAAAAAGTGGGCACAGCAACAGATGCAAGTCTTACACTGGGCTACATTCCAGCATCCATGCCCATGTCATTCACTTCCCAAGTGTGCTGTCTTGGAAAATAGACAGGGAGGGACTGCAATGGCACCACTTTTCCACCAGTAGGAGGGAAACCTCATTTATTTCAAGGTGGTTGCTTCTGAACAAAATATACCAAACCAGCCAATTATGTATTATTCTGTAAAGACAGCACACATGTCTCCCACATAGCCATTGTGGGTCTGCTTATCATCACTGGGCCGCTGTTTATTAATATTCGGTAACCACAGGTGGTGAAAAATGCAAAATGAATAAGCAAATACAACCATAGAATAATTAAACATCTTACAGCTGCAGTAAGTCAATATTCCTTTAGACAGTACTTTAACCATTTTTTCAGTCAAGGCTGGCAAAATGATTTATGTGTATATGTATGATTTGCTGAGAGTTGTGAAACTGCATCTATTTCTTGCTGTTGTATATTTGTATATTCTCTTCCCGGGAGCTCAAGGCTGTCTTCGCTTTTATCTTCATAACACCCCTGTGAGGTAGGCTAGAATGAGAGTTGGTAGCTAAGACATCAAAGTTGTACAACAGCACATACTTCAGAGTATGTTTTGCCTGTTAGTTATCAAGATTGGAAACATGCTTGTTTCATTTCGGTATTTTGTTATAAATGTCTGGACTGTGAAATGCTGTTGTTAAAGCAATGAAGCTGCTTGGCTGGCTTTTCTTTACATCATCTCTGAATGGTGTTACATAGCAATGGTGTTGCCGGGGCCCTGCTAGTCCTGTTCCCACAATGGCCCATCTAGTCCTGTTCCCACAGGGACCAAACACATACCTGTGGGAAACCCACAAGCAAGACCTCAGTGCAATAGCACCCTCCCCTCCTGTGGTTTTGCGCAACTAGTATCGAGAAACATGCTTCTCCAACCATGGAGGCAGACCATAGCTATTGCGACTAAGAGCCACTGATAGCCAGGAGTGCCACACATTTGTTGAATGCTCTTTTGAAGCCATCCAAGTTGGTCACAATCTCCACATTCTATGTGATATACAGCAGACCTTCCAGTTACATACCACTCTGGATACGTAACTTTGAGGTTAAAAACGTGGCAAACCCAGAAGTGTATTCTTCTGGGTTTCACCACGTCCGCATGCGCAGAAGCGGCGCCTCTGGTTATGGATTTTTCAGGGTGCGCACAGCCCCCTGGAATTAATTAAATCCGTAACCAGAGGGTCCACTGTATATTTATAGATTGCTTTTCTATCCAAGAGAGCCAGCTTGTGCACCTTTCTCTCTCCCCCCTCTGTTTAGAAGACATCTGAAGGCAGTCCTGTTTAGGGAAGTTTATCATGACTGATGTTTTAATGTATTTTTAATCTCTTGTTGGAAACCACCCAGAGTGGCTTGGGAAACCCAGCCAGATGGGTGGAGTATAAATAAATTATTATTATTATTATTATTATTATTATTTGCAACAGCCTGGTGAGGTAGGAGAGAGACTTTGTGCAGGGCATCAGACAATGACTTTCTCTACACCCCTTGCCACACCGTCTAGCCTTAGGAGTCTTCATAAGGGAACAGTTTCCAGAGGAAGAACTGGGGTGAGAGACTTTGTCGTCATGGGGCAGTTGATTGACACATGTGCTGTCCCACCTCCAGCCTGAGGAAACTTCAGAATGGAGTTGCTGCCGCAGGCATTATGTTTAAGTGTCTTCTAATGAACCAAATAGATCGTGAGTCATGGGGAGAGCATATAATCAAGTCTGTAAAAATAATGTGTCAATTTGTTACTGGCCAGCATACATTTGTATATATCCCTGTCTGAGCACAGAAGGGTCACACATCAGTCTGTGCTTTCTGCATGCCATTCCTGTGAATGTGTGAATAAGCTTTGCTTTTCATTAAAATATATTTCCTTGGTAACAAAACAAATGCATGAATCACTGGTAAAGTACATTTTACCCCTGTGTCTTCCCATAAAACAACTGGTACTCTAAGTATCCACCTCTCAGCATTAAGCAGTCACATTGACACCTGCAATAATTGAAACTGAATTTACAACTATGCAAGGAATTGTAATTGCTTTCATGGCATAGAAAACATGCAAGTAAATTTGCCTCACCACAGATTCACAGGGGGGCTTTCAGCATGATAGCCCTTGATTGACGATTATATTTAGGGTCTGATTCTGTGGGGTTGTAAAATGCCCACAGTGACTACTAAGCACTCCCATTACCAGATGCTTTGGGATTTTATTACACCAATAGATCAGAAAGGGAGCAACAAGATGAATCCTATTAGCCACAACCTATAACCCAGAGTTTTGGGGGAACATAATGAACTGTTGACCAACTTTGCTGATTTAGATTGTGCCCCACAATCTATTTATGTCAAGATATTGTATATAAAATTAATCATTCCTCTATTCTGGTTTATGTAATTTGTGAATCACAGGGTTAACTTGTTTGAAATACCTAGCTATCTTTTTATTCTTTTACCATTCTGTCCTTCTTCCCAAAAGAGAGCCCAGGGCAGCTAAAAACGTAAAATAGCAAAGAAACCTAAGAATAATTTTAAACGGCAAAGAAAAGACAATCACAACACATCACAAAGATAATAGCGGATAAAGCTTCTGATAGGGACCTGACACTCATTATCTCACCAAGATCTGGACAAATAAATGAGTTTTGATTTTGTGTGTGCATGGCTGAAGCAGGGGGACAGCCTGATGAGAGGATGGGGTTCCACAGATGGGGACCCACCACAGATAATAACTTCTATCATTGCAGGGTACAGGACTAGCTGACTCTTGGGGTCTGTTTCAGCTCTACAATTCTGTGATTCTATGTTACCATCCATCTCATGGACCATGAACAGGGCCTCTCCCACTAATTGAAAGTTTAGGATGAAAGGTACTTGGGAATATGTTCCTTCAAATATTGGATCCAAGGTCATTTAGGGTTTTGCATCTTAGCATTAACACCTTGAACCAGGTACAGCAGCACAACAGCAGAAGCCAGTATAGAAATCTGGGTCTGGAACCAACTCCACTTTCATCTGCTGCCTAGTTGATCAGCCATCAACTGGGTGGTGCATAAAATATTGTTATCCCTATGCTGCATCTGGGATTTATTGGGAGTGCTCATTCATGTATATTGAAATAATAGGGGTGGTAGAAACAAATGGCTAATGGGAGAATGTTCTTCCTGACTCAACAACAGATCAGATGGTTGTGAGACCACCACCAATCTCATGCTCACAAGGCAGATAGGACAACTTTAAAATTTGCCTCTCCTTCAACCATGCCATCCAAGCTGCACACCAAATCAGCACTAGGAACTATGCATTCAGTACTAAATTGGATTATCTAGAACTGGGTCCAACTGCTTTTTGCCCTTCCCTTGGTTTGAGTCATATGTGCAGCAACATAGGGTCTCTTTCTGTGGAATCTGTGCCTACCTTATTCAGGAGTGGGGACAGCTGTAAAAGATAAAACAGTTGACATTTTTCAGACTTCAAATTTTAGTCCTACATAGCAATACAATCTCAGTACTAAGGCATATCAATAATGTGAGTGATCATAATAAAGTAGGTTGAACAGATGCTAAAGGACACTACCTTGACCCAGCTATAATCAAGTTTATCTACAGCATTCAGCAAATATTTCTTACACTTTACTTCCACGGCTACTATTCCGGGCTAGTTCTGCTTGCACAAAGGCTGTCAATCATGTAAAATGATATCTTGGATTTGTAGAGTACACAGATGGCCTAGGATGAAATGACTAGCTATCATTTGTCTGAGAAATAAAGATGGATTTATCCTCCAGTCCCTGTGATGTACAAACATAGTGAATTAAGTATCTACAGGACCTTTTATTTCTAATGTTAAGAGAATATTTGTATAGGTAGTATTTGCTGCAATCAAAGACACAAGAGCCCTGATTATACTCCCACAAAGCTATAAATGCAAGACTTTTAGGAGCTGAAATAATATGTGGTGAGGAACAAACTGATCTCACTTTGAATTTTTTTTAAGAGTGTTAAAAACAACTGAAACACTTGTGATTACTCTTTCTAGAAAATGTTCAGAGCCAATATGGTTGCTGGGATCCACAAGTACAGACTGTGCAAACATAGTGTTGGAGTAGATAGGATTTTGACATGACCCAATAAGGCTCTTCTTATGGCCTTATGTAATCTCCTGGTGAGAACTTATCATATGAAGCAACAAAAATGCAACTAAAGCATTTACCTGTGTCAGTTCATTGCTGTCCACAAGACCATTGTTGTCCGAATCATAATATTTAAACATCTGATCCACCAATAATTTCTTCAAAGCCATTTTATCTTCAACACTTCTTTCTCTTGTTTGTAGCATGTATCTTCTGTTCTGGAGATCCAGCAGAAAGTTTTTCATCTTATTGTAGTCGATTGACTTACAGTTACCCCCTGCCAAGATAATAACATATTTACTTGAATTAGATCTTTAAAAATTGTTTCCTACGAAAGGCAGGCTGTTTCTGTTAGCACAAATGCTACAATTGAATTTTGACCCTTAAGCATGTGTAAATATGCCTAGATCAATATAGATATTAAACAATACAAGCAAATGGAAAGAAATGGATGAACATGACTGGGATTTTTTTCAGAAGTGTGCAATGAAATTGGGCTCTGTCCATATGTGAGATTTCCAGCCAGCACTTCAACATATGCTTAGATACAATAGTTATTTCCTAGTGTGGGAATTAGTCCACAGCATAAATATCAATAATTAGCATAATTACAACAATAAGAAGCTAGAACAATATGACAGCATTAGCGCACAAGGAGTTAAGCAGTTCAAACTTGGTTGATGAAAAGCATGTGCATAACAAAATAAAGCAACTTAAAATTCAGTTTGAGAGAAAAGTGAAAAGTTCCACTGAACTTACTCAATGAGAGTTCAATTTTCTACTTTAAAATGTCAATACAATTACCCAGGTAATCGTTATGCATGTGAGTTTTACTCAGAGAATTCAATCACTTCCTAATGATGACATTTTTCATATGTCTTTGAAAATAATTTCAGTTCTAAAGTATGAAGAATGGGTCAATTACAGAAGCTAATAAGGCTCACTAAACAGAGGTAAAGGGGGCATTCAGAAACCTGTCACCATCGACATGTCAAGCTTCTTTCACATAAATTATATTTTATGGAATGAAAAAAATTATAATTAAAAGCCATCAGTTACATCCATTATTTATTTAAAAATAGCAATTAAGTTCATACAGAAGAAATGTATGGCAAATTAATTCTGGTATAGAGAGGGTATCATTTTTTAGATTAAATGACTCACAGTGATTAGTGAATTCAAATAAGAGACAACCTTGCATGCTTGATTCCACTAAATGGATGATAAGTAACCATCTATATATATATGATCCCTGGAGCCATTCCAGGCAGTCTGTGGGGTAGGGGGAACCCAGAAAAAAACACCACTATGGCTATTTTAGAGGCTCAGTTCTAAAGCTCATTGGGCTAGTTGACCTTGGGCTTGTTGCTCATTTTCAGTTTAACGTACTTCATAGGATTGTTGTGAGGATACAATGGGGCAAGAGAGAACATTGTACAGTCATACCTCGGGTTAAAGTCGCTGCAGGTTGAGCGTTTTCAGGTTGCGTTCCGTGGTGACCCGGAAGTAACGAAACTGGTTACTTCTGGGTTTCGCCGCTTGCTCATGCACAGACGCTCAAAATGACATCACATGCATGCACAGAAGCGGTGAATCGCAGCACGCACAGACGCGGGTTGCATTTTGGTCTGGATGCGAACAGGGCTCCGGAACGGAACCCGTTCGCATCCAGAAGTACCACTGTATGTTGCTTTGTGCTCTTTGGAGAAGAAAATGGAATACAGATGCAAAAATGAGATAAAAATTAATAATATTAATAGTACTTAACATATAAATACAAATAAATAATATAAGGAAGGACTGTGACTTATTTATTCAGCAGTAGCTGATGGAAAACTCTTCTGCAATTTCATGTTGCTGTACTTCACTTATGGATGCACAAGAAAATATATGATGGTCCAAAACAAACAATCATATTTATCTGTCTTACATGTTCCACCTGCCCTTTTATTTCTAGCGTAAATGATTTAGTGTCATTGCGCCCTCTCTGATTGCATGGAGCCTGGACAGCCCCGTGGTTTTCCACGGATCTGAGGTCAATGAAACAATCACTGAGACGAGGGGGCCACTAGGGGGCGCATCGGAAGATGGCTGACAATAACATCTCTCCGACCCACAAGAGGTAATTTGGAGGCTATGATGGGAGTAATTAGCCTCCCTACCCCCCCCCAGGAAGGTGGGGGGGACTGCCCTTGCCTGCTGTGCCCTACACCACCCCCAAATTTGTGGGGGTGGGGGCACTAGGCACAAAGCCCTCCTGTGGGATTCTGGCACTCCTGGACGCCGTCTCTGATCCACGCCACTAGCTGCAAGAACTTCAAAAGAAACAATTTGGATGAAGCTAATTGCACATATTTCAAGGAAGGAGGGGGAGTAAAGACTGCTAACAGAAGAGATCTCTGATAAAACAAGACAAGAATAAATCATGAGAAGATACGCTAAGATACGGTATGGCAAATGTCTGATGGGGGAGGGGAAAAAACTTTCCTTTCTTTCCTTATGTGATTAAATAAGAATCCCCTCCCCTCACGGGTCAGAAATGTCGTTTTAAGGACTTAAGCTGTAGATTTAAGGCTGTATGGAGATAAACTTTCGAACCAAAGCATGTTTTAAGAAGAACATGGAATGTAAGAGCTCTGGAATGACACAGTTAAAAATGCCGTCGCCATATTGGGAAGTTCTGTCGGAGGTCTTGAGTCTGGGAGAAGAAATAGAGAATGACCTCTCCCCGCTTAAAACGGGGGGCGCCCTTTGCGTGGACGCGTGCAGCCCCTAGATCTGGAGTGGCTCCAACAGCATAGGCTTGGCTTTGACTTCCCTCAGGGGGTGGGCGGGTGTGGAGGACTCCCTGGTCCTGAATCGGATAACTGTGCCAGCTGCGGAGCCTGGGAGTCATTTTGGATTCACAGCTGTCCATGGTGTCCAGGGCAGCTGTTTACCAGCTCCATCTGGTGCACAGGCTGAAACCCTACCTGCCTGCAGACTGTCTCACCAGAGTGGAGCATGCTCTAGTTATCTCTCACTTGGACTACTGCAATGCGCTCTGTGTGGGGCTACCTTTGAAGGTGACCCGGAAACTACAACTAATCCAGAATGTGGCAGCTAGACTGGTGACTGGGAGCGGCCGCCGAGACCACATAACACTGGTCTTGAAAGACCTACACTGTCTCGTGTTTTTTTAAAAAACAAGAAAATCTTTAATAATAAAAAATAATGATGTACTGGCTCCCAGTACATTTCCGAGCAAAACTCAAAGTGTTGGTGCTGACCTTTAAAGCCCTAAACGGCCTCAGTCCTGTATACCTGAAGGAGTGTCTCCACCCCCATCGTTCTGTCAAAACAATGAGGTCCAGTGCTGAGGGTCTTCTGGAGGTTCCCTTGCTGCGAGAAGCCAAGTTACAGGTAACCAGGCAGAGGGCCTTCTCGGTAGTGGCACCCTCCCTGTGGAACACCCTCCCACCAGATGTCAAAGAGAAAAACAACTACCAGACTTTTAGAAGACATATGAAGGCAGCCCTGTTTAGGGAAGCTTTTAATGTTTAGTAGACTATTGTATTTTAATATTTTGTTGGAAGCCGCCTAGAGTGGCTGGGTAAACCCACCCAGATGGGTGGGGTATAAATCATCATCATCATCATCATCATCATCATTATTGGTTTGAAATCTTCTCTCCTCTGCTTCTCCCAGTCGTACAAGAGCTACAATCTCAATGATTTGCTAGGCTTTTTTGCTTTTTTGCTTGTCAGGAGTGAGGAAAATCCATAGAACTGATGCAAACTTTAATTAGAGAAGGCTGAAGTGCCCTCTACTACTATTACTGAATATGATGATGATGATGATGAAAGATCAACAACAGCTAAACAAAAATTAACAAGGGTTTGTTTGTTTGTTTGTTTGTTTTGCTTTCCCCTGTCCTGGCAAGGCTTCTAAATACCTTGCGACAGGCAGAAATCCAACAGAGAGAGTGATGAGAGAACCTACACTTGTTGAATTTTTAAGCATGGGAGTATGATTTTGTTTCCCTTGGGTAGAAATGCTTTAAAGACACTGTTTTACCTGGGATTAAAAAATGCAGTTGTTTGGTGCAGAAGTTATTCTTGTTTCTTTAAAGGCAGAGATTCAATGGGTAACCTCCCCATCATAGTGGCAATTTCACAGAATAGCTGTGTTTTGGTTTCCACATTTTTGGGGAAGTCAAGATTAATCGGGTTTGCATTAAACTGTTAGCTGTACCAACCTTCTTCCCATCTCTAATTATTATTAAAATAAACCTGCTAAACAAAACTAGTCACTCTGAGGAAGACACAGATATAAATTCTGACTTTTCCTGAAGGATACTGTGCTTCCCCATTCTTACTAGTCACACACACAAACACGCACTTGCGTAGAGCATTAGGTCACCAAGACACTTTGTTGCCTGAGGGAAGGCAAGATGATGCCAGTTGTCTACTGGACTGGATGCTGAACCTTACTTCAACACTGGCAATGGGGACCATGCATGATAGCTCTGTACCCCAGCATCGCATCACAGTTGTTTGCCCCTTAGCATGTGCCACCTGAGGTGACTGCCTCACTGCTAATGGGAGGGACCACCCAGTATGAATGCAGAATGTGAACTCTTAATCAAAATGGTTTATTAAAACAAAACAAAACATCCAGCTACATTGTAAGGTGAATAAGAATGGAGAAAGAGGAGAGTTACCACAGTTGTGGAATTGTCACCACAGAAAGGGAGACTTGGGAGCTCCTATGATTCAGGTGCTCCTATGATTCAGTTTGATTTATCTACCTTATCTGGATCCAACCCGTTATGTTTCTGGATCACATCTGTTAGGAAATATATTAGATACTAGCAACAGTTAAACATACTATTTTGATAGAGCGTTTCAACATGATAATAGCAGTAATTTCCTTCAGCGAGTACCTGTTCACTCTGAACATCACCCAGCCTTGGAATTACAATTCTAGTCATGCTACTAAAGAAGCCATCCAGCATGTTTCCCATCTCAGTCAGAAGCCTATACAAATCAAGTCAATATTTAAACAACTTGCCTGAAAGCCTGTCATTATGCTCATAATGTACAATAATGGTGATAGTTTAGCGTAAGGGGGGGGTGAGTCTTGAGCTAGATCATCTGCAATCTATAAGCACACAATTTCATTTTCCATTTTCAAAAGTCAGGTAGCAGTCCTAATTAAGATGCTCTCATTTCCAGCTATTTCCCACAGATATGTCTGTATTCGATTGACCCCAAGTAATGTTATTTCTCCCCCTTT